TCTTCACTATTCAGTCCTGCATTATTCTGCATCAGGATGCTCCTTTATTATTTTATTGTTTTTTTTACAAATGCCTGCTTATCTCAAGAATAACACAAGGAATCAGTTTGTGTTTGCAACAGAAGCTTGTCGAGCACAGAATTAAAGCCAGATAAAATGTAATCTCACCAAACAGGGCACTAATGCTTTGTGGTTAAACTAAAACCTGCAGAATGCAACCTTGACAAACTTAAAAAGTAAAGAAAATCAGTTATTGCAAGAAACAAATTTGCCTTTGAGCCAAATATGTGACTAATGAAATTTTCAAAACCGTTTTGGCGACAAAGTTTCTTCTGGATTGTCAAAGTGTCAAAGTGCATTGTCAGCACTTTGACAGTATTTTCCCAAATCTGAATTTCTCGTTAACCCATTAGGGGCTTAGATGTTCTATTGTTGCACCAGGCCATAATTGATTAAAATAAAATATATATTTTGTTACTAAAAGAATAATTGTTAATGATTATTGATGAAAGAGTCCACATCTGTTTGAGTACATCTATATGCTATGTTTAAGACTGTGACACCCAAGAAAAGGCTTGTCAGTAAAAATAAATAAGCTTTGTAGCTAAACGTTGTTCATATTTGCCAAAAAAATGATTAAGTAATTCATATTATTTACAAAAATTTTGCCACAGCAGCTTTGTTTTTAATTCAAATAAAACACCAGCTCTAAAATCCCCTACACTCTCACTTCTCAGTTCAACTTCCATGTAATTTATAGGAATGTTTTTAAAAAATTAACCTTTTTTGTATATTCATATGTTTTCTGTCATTTAGCAGATGATAACAAAAACCTTGAAACCAAATTGCTACTGTTCTTGGTTGAAATTTCTGTTGACCTCTGAAGAAGACAGGTTGTTTGCAGCAGTTCCCAAAGTTGGGGTCGGGACCCAAAGTGGGGTCCCGAAACATCAAGGTGGGGTCCTGAAAAGATTTTCTGAATTAATTACATTTTTTGCCTTAGTTGTTACAAAGGAGTGAGGTTAGTATATTTAAAATGGATAAATGTAGTATAAAAACATTGTTACTATGCCCATGTTTTGTTGACCTGATACAAATGTTTATCATCCAAAAATAGCTGGGGSCACAGGTCTCTGCTACTGTTATTTTGTGGGTCAAAAGCTGAAAAGTTTGGGAACCACTGCACTTTGGTTCCCAAAGCTGGGCTTGGGACCCAATTATGGGTCGTGAAGCACCTTGGATAATCTCCAGAAATCCATTTAAAAGGTAATTAAAAAATTACTGATGTAATCCTTTCTCTACAATTATTACAAAAACACAAAATAAGTAAAAATAAGTATTTGTATTTGTGTACAAGCTGTTTAGATTGTCCAAAATCCTGTGCTTTTAGGGTTATTTAAGAAGCTCATGTACTCAGACCAGTAATATTTGGGGTCACAAGTTTTTGAGATGGATATTTTGTGGGTCAGAAGACAAATAGTTTGGGAACCACTAGTTTAAGGGATTTATTACAAGCATTAGTGTCATAAAATGGAGAGAAATCTCTTATTTTATAGTCGATTTAGTTACAAGTTGAATAATATGAGCATCTAAGGCACTGGGACTTGTTAGGAGACAAAACAAATCCCGGGACTTTCCTTTTTATTGTTTAAACCCAAGCATGTTGAGAATAATATCAATTTACTAATAAAACAAACGTCTTTATTTTCCTCACTTGAGACAGTGCAGAGGCCCCGGCGGAGAAACCCGCGCGACACTGGCTCCGCTGACGGTGCTGAGCTGAACTTCAGAGACATAAAACCTGATGGAAGAGGACTGCAACCTGGTCTTGACGACTTCCAAAGGACAAGTCAGAATAGCACCCACTGTTCCACCACATCTAGAAAAGGAAGAGTGAAAGGGATGTAGGGAAAAAGTTGCAAAATGTTTTTTTTTCTCTTTTTTTTTAAATGTGAATGGTCATGGAAAAGTATGTGTTCGCTTCATGTTCATAGGAGAGGAAACAAATCTGAGCAGTGCAATGAAATAATATCTATTTTTTTAAAGTTGTATAGTGTTCTTCCAGAAACCAGCCTCCAATTGTTATTTTGTCTTTTTTTAAATCGGGAAGTAAAAACAAATCTGCATACTAAAAACTGTTGGAAATTTGCAATTAATAGCTGTGATCATAGTGAACCCCTAACAAGTTCACATTGTGAACTTGCTAATGTTTGCCAGTTGAGAAGGCAAAGAAAATCAGGCTCTTGTAGCCTGATAAGAAATAAAGCTAAATAAAACATGTAGTTAACATGTCACTAAACCTACATAAAGTACAAACAAGAAGCATAACGCCTTAAATATGTCTTTGTTTTTTTTAAATAAAACATGTAGTTAACATGTCACTAAACCTACATAAAGTACAAACAAGAAGCATAACGCCTTAAATATGTCTTTGTTTTTTTTCACTGATTTGTGCATATGTACTAGTTTGAAAAGCCTAAACTTGTAAAACTTGTTGGAAAAATAAAGCCCTTTCTTCCTGACACATACTGTACTCGGCCAATGCTGCTTCCTTCCCTAAATAATGCTATAATAAAGGATCTGAAGAACTTCTTTCAGACATGTCACTAATGGCTTCATAATATGTTACAGTAACCAGTGATTTCAGAAAAAAGCAGCCTACAGACTGGAGATTCTTCTTGGCTGTTTTCACAAAACCCATGCCAATGCTTTGTGTGGATATAAAAACTGAGGCCCCACAGTGGTTTTATGTTGACATCTTGGCAGTGAATTCTTGCTGTGGGTCTGAGTAGCACCAAGCTATATTTACTTTTCAAAACATCACTGCACATTCATGCTTACAGCTGCTAACGACCTTTGGCCTAGTTTCCCGGGCTGCACCATGTGTGTGTCTCCAACTGGTTTAGAGAACCAGCAAAAGGCTGAGGTCTCYTTTAGATTAAAACAGGGCAAATTGAGACTGATGAGTTTTGGTCTCTTTGTGTAAGCAGATATTTGAGAACTAACTTACCAGAAAAGATAATGAAACTTTTTTTTTCAAGCCGACAGAAAAGAGCATGAATGAACGGATACGGGTTTCATTAGCGCTTAAAAGGAGGCGTGTTTCTTTTTTCTTTTTTTAAGTAAAAGACTTCTCATTTCGGCGTTTGAACAATCAGCCAGAAGTGTCTCAGAAGTTAAAATTGTGTAATCATTTCAACGTCAGAGGGTAAACCGGAAGTCTCCTTCCAGCAGCGTGATGGACGTGCACAAAAAAATGACAGCGCGCACGCAGGGGGGTGGGGGGGGGGGGGGGGGGGGGGTGGACGACGACCTATTTGACTTTGTTGTCGCGATAATATAAAAGGCAGCTTGTGTAGGAAGCTGTAAACTGTACATTTGAACTGAAATGTTATGTATTGTTTGGCTTACCCTCCGGCGAACAAATGAACCAGTGTGTCCCTTTGGCTCATTATTTAGCATGCTCTGCCTAGCAGCTCGCCTTGGGCTGCAGCACTGAGTCCCAACGACGCCGGGCTCGGCTCTGGTCCGTTCCCGTTGCTTTTCTGTCTTCGAGAAGATGCACACGTCGAAAGACAAATAACCACACATGAACGACGGGCCGAGTCTCCGGTGATTCAGACTGCAGTGGGCCGTACACCGCTCTCTCTTCTCCTGTATCTCAGCTCGCTCTGGTTCTCCTCGCTTGGAAACAGAAACCGACGAAAAAAAACACCGCAGAGCTGCGAGCTCACCGGCCTCCGTACTGGCTCCAAAATGTTTCCAGTTTTTACTATCAAACAATCCTACAGCACATCCACTGGTTTGGCTTGATTGTGCCCCTCTCTCCTTCCATCGATGCACCAAAAAGGAARAGGAGGCAGAGCTCATAGTATTTACTGTACACCCATAGGCTGGAAAGAGACGCTGCTATTGGTCAGAAGGCATGCTGACGTCACGTCTTCGCTGATCATGCAGTCTTCACATGTTCAACGTTAAATGAATCAGGGACAACATGGTTCTGTTTATGTTGGATCAATCAGTGAAATCTGATTATCTTAAGTCAGAGCATTTTGACAAAGGCTYATGTTTGTTGCTGTTTTTTTTCATAGAAACAAAAATCACTACGTGAGCAAATATCTAAGAAAATATGTCAGACAGCAAAGATCAAAAGTTGAATAGATTTAGCTTTTATAACAAGGTAGCTGTTCATTTAGTGTAAATTAGTGTTTATTGGAGGTTTGAGATTTTTCTCTTAATCTACCTCCAAATATCTGACAGGCTTATTTTGTTATTTACTCTTTAWAACATTAATAGACTGAATGTGTCAGTAATTTTCTTATTTGACCATTTTCTCTCAATTTTTTTCACCTACACAAAACATAATGTTTTTATGTATTTATTGATGTTGAAATATTTAGTCTCCATCATAAAGTGTTTAAATACAGTGTTTTAAAGCAGTAAACTGACAAATATACAGTATGCTCATTTTGGACAAAGCTTTAGTGAGGCTCAAGCAATTACAATTTACACCAAAATCTTCCCAGTCCCAGTAGAGAAACTATWTATACTGTCCAACAGTAGATAATTGTGGAGTTCTTTGCTATTTTATGTTTATTGACAAATAGGACTTTAATGGCTGACRAGAAATATTAGAAATATTTTCCTGTTCTGATACTCTTGATAAAAACTAGTCGACCACCAGCAGAATAGTAAAGTGGTTATTTAATATTACAGCTGAATGAAATTTGTATTTATTTGCAAATTGCAACCGTTGAAAATGAACTGCATACCCAAATGTTTAGCTTTTTAATCTGTTTAGTACTGAYGACCAAAGAGCTTTAGTATGGTGGTGGAAGTATATGTTGTAGTTTGGGATTGTTTTGATTTCTCAGTGAGTAATTTACACATTCAACAAACTCTGCATCTTATGTAAAAATCAAGAAGCCAGTGTTAGAGGCTGATAACCCCTATGCTAAAAATCCAACATATTTTCATATTCTGGATTAGTAAAGTCGTGTAAAATTACTGTTTAATGTAGCTAGATGTCTTGAAGTACAATGTACCAATTTGTGTGAGGACTATTTTATTTATATTTTTGTAATTTGGCAAAAACATTTATTCAAAGTAATTCACAATTCGGGAAAACGTTATAACTGCCTAAAGTTTATGGTCAGAGCAGTGTTTTACCACTGAGCCATGGCCTCTAATCTAAAGAAGAATCTCCTGGCTGACAAGTTGAAGTCATGCACATGGTTTCACGTTTCCCATTTATACAAATAAAACCAATAATGTCTCATGTGACTGTTGTCTCATGACCTGAAGAATACTGAAGAACTAATTAGTGAAAAATAAAAACAGGTTGGTGTGTCGCATCATGAAAGGAAGATAGCATAAAGATGGAGATTTTTTTCATAAAAGACTTGCAAAATGTTTGCAAACAGCATTTGTTAAAAATGCAGAGATGTCTTTGTATAGTCTTTGTTTTTTTTTATTTTAAAATACTAAAGCATTTCATCCGAATTTGATTATCACAAACCAGTTACAGTAACAAACGTATTTGCCAAAACAAATCTAATTTTCAGCATTTTCTTGCCAAACAAAATTGGCTGGCTTTGCTTAGTAAAATCAGGATTACATGCTTCACTAATTATATTTAGTTGCTTTTTTTTTATCAGTGTAGCCAGTTTGTGGTCAAAATGAAAACATTATAAGCATCTTTAATGGGCAGAATAAACAAACAGTGATGCYGAGAAATCAGATTTAGTAGAACTTCAGCACACTTTGATGAATTTGTGTTTGTATCTTGATCTTAAGAGATTTAACAACATAGATTCCAGATCTGTACAACCCTCAAATGGACATAAGACGATGGAAAGTTACACACAATCAAATAGGCAGTTAGTTCAGAACACTGCTGCTCGAGTCCTCACAAAGACCAAGAAAAGGGACCGTATAACTCCAGTTACACTGGCTCCCCATCTGTCAAAGAATTGATTTCAAAATACTGCWATTGGTTTATAAAGCGCTGAATGGTCTAGGGCCAAAATGTATWACTGATCTTCTGGTCTGCAGAGGCCTCAGGTCGTCAGGGACAGGCCTGCTCTCTGTTCCCAGGGTCAGAACCAAACACGTAGGCAGCCTTCAGTTTTATTGCTCCTCACATTTGGAATAACTTCCTGAAGACTGCAGGTCGGCTGAAAATCTCAGCACTTTTAAATCAAAGTTGAAGACAATTCTGTTTGCCGCTGCCTTTCCTTGGATCAGACAACTGCAGATTTTCTGCACTGCTGCTTTTATCTCTTATTTCCTCTGTTATTTTTAAATGTATTTCATTTGATTTATATTATTGTGTTTTATTTTTATACGTTGTATTCACTATGCTGATACCTTGCTTTTAATGTTTTATGTAAAGCACTTTGAGTTGTCTTGTACGTGAAATGTGCTACACAAATAAACTTACCTTACCTTACACATTGGTATATTTTTACATTATTTTCACCAATAAGTAAGGCCATAAGATGAGTGCCAAGTAGAAGACATGCATGTCTAATAACTTAATAAAAATATTAAAAACAGCAGCCAAACAAATTCAAAAGAAATTTAGTGTTTAGAATGTGTTTAAATTTCTGTCCAAGTTTTGTATTAATTAACTTTTTTAATCTAGTATTTTAATAAGATCTGAAGTAAAACACAGCATTTGTGTGCAAAATTTAACAACACACTGCTTGATTTTGTCATCCAGCCATAATTGCCATTTTGTTTGGTAATAGCATAATTATTTTTTCAGCACCTCACAACTGAAACATGCTCCCAAAATGTAAAAAATAGGTAATCAGTTAGTGATGAAAAAGATAGAACAGCTGAGGGTCCAGCCACGGGAAATTAAAGAAACTCAATTACAGCCTTTAAGTGCATGCTCACGAGGATGTAGCCCAAAGGATCACAAGACAGAAGAGCAGCACTTGAATTAAAATTTYATTGAAGGGGGAAATGTGATTAACTTTGGCCATTTTTTTCTTGTTGTCACTTACTCTACATTTAATTATATCCTGTATTTATAATCTAACATGTGTTGTGTTTTATTGACATCCTTGAAATCAGTTTAAATAACAGGAACAACATAAGCAATCCAATCTCTTTCTAACCTTTGTTCTTTTACCCTCGAATTTTCCATTTGTTTCCTTCAGGGCGGCAAAAATTGATTAGAAACTCAATATCCCTTTGAAAACAATTCAAGAAAAATCAACTTTTTTGCCTCCCTCAACAAATCTTACAAACACTATTAAATTAAGTCCAAATTCTGTTAAGATCAATTTAAGTTTCAACTAAAAACCTTTAATGACATGCGAGCGCATTTCTCTGACGCAGTTAGACGCATGTCTCATGATGTCTTCCCCCACCGGCCTGCAGAGTCCCTGTGGACCTTGACACATCAGATAGGTGAGTTAATAATGAGAGGCATGATCTGAAGGGAATGTTCACGTGTCCGTGTGACCAAGTGTGCGGCAATGTTTTTCAGGGATGTGCAAAGATTACATTCACCTCAAATGGACCCCTTCTTTATCAGTGCTTGGGTTCAAAGTAACAAAAACAGTAGATGTAGGCAAGGGCGTAACTTTAAGTCTACCATTGGGGGGGTTATGCTTGAAAAAATGCCATTGTACATTTTTAAATCAAGTCAAAGTTACCTAAAGACAACAAGAGAGTTGCATCTGTCTACTTCACCAGTTAATTTCTATTGTGTTTGAGCAAATGATGTCATTTTATTGGGGCGGGTGTGTGTGTGTGTGTGTGTG